CACCGAATCGTTTGATAAGTTAATTCACTAAAAGAGGAAAAAAGATCGGGGCTCTTTGGGATGCGTTTTAGCCGGATTTTAACGCAGAAGGGAATATTAAATATTAGTAGCTATCGAACGGAATGATCTGATCAAGATTAGGCTATTTGAATGATGTTATGATTAATAAATAAACCAAACGCTCCACGCGCGTTTTTTCCAACCTCGACTTAAAATTGAATTAAAGGCGAATTAGAGCTCCGCATTTAAAAAATTAAGGGGGATATTATTACAAATAAATAGTAGGCTGTGATAATGGTGTATAATTAAATTCTTCCACAACAGATGCCCAGTTATTTACACGATTCTTGTTTCTTTTCTTGCGTTCATTATTCTCCGGCTCTTTTTTTCCGAAAGTTTAAACCTAGAATTAGAGATTAAAAGATAATCGGCGTCCGTTTTCCTCACAATAGGTCTCTTACCTAAATTTTTTATACAAATTAAAACTTATGCACGTGATAATCAATACACAATCGAAAGTGCCATGTGTACAGACACATGTTTGATAAAACGGAATAAATAATTCTTTTTTTTGCCGAGTCAAAATGTACCGACCCTTTAATTTACATAAAAATGTTAGTGTAGAACAGTAGTAGATGAAAATGGTTTCAAAGGAAGTACTATTATGATAGGTAAGTAGATACAAGTAGCAAAAAAATTACAAAAATGGAAATTTTTAAATATAATATAAATAGCTCTATTATAAATCGACCTGAGAGCGTAGCAAATAATTTCGTCGGGGCTAATTTGAAGAGCCCCGACGATAAACCGAAGCAAAAAGATGGTTATCGGGAACATCGCAGCCATCAAGAACGAATAAAATCAATGAAACCAGTCGACTAATAGAGTTAGCGGCGTAAAAAATGTACAATGCCTTGTTCGAGGGTGTCACATCTCCTTTTCTCGAGATATTTCCACGATAAAAGCGGACAGTCGAAAACATTTACCCTAATCTCCGTCCCAACTGGACGATCGGCGTAAATCACCGGCGTATCAGGCACCAAACCGAAGCCTCATTCACATAAAACAAATCTTAATATTGCCTTTATACTTTAAAGTTTGCTGGGATACTTTTTTTAATATCCTCTATACATAGGTATACCGTTATAATCATCTTTTAAATAAAAATACCTTCGAATCAGGAATGGGGTAAGCTACTGGTAAACTTTACTTAGTAGGTACTGGATGGTAGATTTGGTAAATTGAGATATTTAATAATTTGAGTTTCAATAGTATACATTTTGAAAAAATCTATATTTGCCTGTTGTGAATCGGACTGTGGAACTGGAGGTAAGTGGGGTGCTACAAGTAGTCGGACGGTGGCTGACGACTCCGGGGCTCCGGGAGGCAATCGAATTCGGCTCTTAAATCTCGCGTTATTAGAGCGGATAGTCGTGCTTCGAGGGTACGCGATGCTCCGATAATTTCCACGGCGTAAATCACTGTCACTTATATCGACGACGTGGCGCGTTTATCCACGGTAAAAGTCGGATTCAATGGCTAGCATAATTATAAATTAGCTGAAAACTGGCCACTAATTTGCTGTCGAAATAACACCTCTATCGGACGTAATTAAATCCGGAGGATTTTTAGTAGTTTGTGGGGTTTTTTTATCGATTTTTGAACAGGTCAAATTGATTATGTGTAGCATTTTTTCAAATTTACTTCAAGAATGTTTTAGATTATACAAGATGCTGCTTTAATGACATGCCATTATTTAAGCGAGCCATACTAAGGAAATATTTAAGACAACCGTTATTCATATGAAGATTCATTTCTTATAAAATGGACACAAGAATTGTCCCTTTTAAATTAGTATAACGGATTTTTTTAATATAAACTTTTCTGCTCTTACCCAATTACATCAGTTATAAATTATCATGTTCACTACGATTTAAGTACGATTTTAGTGTCAAAATGTCAAAATTAAAGTTAAGCCATCAGTACTACCAACATAATTTTTACAAGCCCAGCCAACTTCCACAAAAATAAGTTCCCGTCATTTACATGTGGTCACTGTGATTTAAAGCGTAAAAAATGGCTAAAAATATCGACATGAAATAACTGGGCACAAGTTTAATCAGAAATGGCGCAATGGCGTATAATTCCGCGTCATACGATCCTTCATAAACTGCCACCGGTAAATCAGTCCAAGTAATTTTCGTTATCGCCCTCCGAAATCCAATATGGCTGCGCAATATATCATAACAGCACGTGAAGTCGATGCAGTACCATTATTCCAGAATTTGAATAAATCGCAGATAAGCCGAAAATTTACATAATAATATAAATCGGGGTTAATGTCGTGTGCGTGCCTCTGCCGGCAAGGTAGGCAACTAGCGAGCCGATAAGCTTATTTCGACGCCATTTGCATATTTATAGTTGACTCTATTTTTCGTGGAGAATATTAGCGGCGATTATTTGGAACACGACATGGCATAATATGGAGGTGCATCGGCGGGTGACACTCGGTGCTGATGAGGAAATTATGGTAATGATAGGGTTGGAAAAAGTCACTGTGATTTATGACGATTTACATACCTATCTAGGTATTACTTTTGTATAAGGTAGGTTTATGATGGTGCATGGAAGGGTTGGGTAATTAAAATGCGAGTTTTTGGCGGAAGTTGTGTTGATGCCCAGCAGACATGTATGTAAAGGGATGATTATATCATTTTATCATGGGTACATGTTTTTATTATTCGAGAGGATATAATTTATTGCCAACAGTATAAAATAGAGCTTCCCCTAGGCATGATTAATTTTGAGGAAAATATATATTTCTGATGCTCAAAATAATTCAAAACTACAAATTACTATATAAGCATTTTTTTAAGTAATAAAATAGATATCTCCATATTAATGGAGGTAGAAGTTCAAGGATGTGCACTTTTATTTTACTTTATTTCATTTTTCCATCATAATTTAAAGATACCTACATAATACTCTGTAAAGTACCTTTATAACATTTATAAAGTACCTTCTATAACATTTGATACAGAATCGGCTAATTCGAATTCAATTTTTCGCGCTTAATTTCCGGACACCCTGTATATTAATTTACCAATATTATAAAGACGCTGGCCCTTATTCAATGCTCCTTTTTAACGCTTTATAATCAATCGGGACATTATTTCTATAAAACTAATACGAATATAATGCAATCACACAAGTTAAGAATCGATTTCTCTCCAAACCTTCCACCAATTTCCACGATTGACACCTTTTTCCAAACGATTCCAACGTCCAGATACCATCAAAACCCGTCCTAATTTAGGTCAATTAACCATTCGCTTCGATAATGGCACTTATTACTCGCACACACGACCGTCCCCATTTGTCATATTGTTTAAAAAAAATCGTCCCGACCAAAGGGAGGGAATCGAAATTTCCCCTAAATGTCCAGAGCACACCCTTATCATTGTTCGCCTCACCGAAAGCCATTGGTCTTTGCGCCTCGCCGCTTTCTCGACACCGCCTCCCGGAGCGAGGTAATGTTTACGCAAAGGCGGGGTTTTGGGCGACCGCCCATCGCCGGGCGAGCTCCGCACGAAGAATAGAAGAACGAAGAACGAAGAATAGTGGCTTTCGAATTGAGACGCAACGGCACGGAGAGGTTCGCAACGCGGATAGAGGCGCTCCGGATGGTCTTCACGTCTCGGAGTATACGGGGGGACATGTAAATTGAGGCGAGGGAAACGTCGATATAAATTTCTTTTGCGGATCGTCTTGCCGATGATCTGAGGTGGTTTTCGTATGATAAGAAGTGCAGGAATGTCGATGGGCGTTTGGTGGAATCGGTACAGAGTTGGCTCAATCGTTATTTTATGTTTGTATATTTCCTCTTACTGGAGTACCTATAGTTAATTTATAGATAAAATATTTAATAGCGAGTTAATTTTATATTATAATATTTATATTCGAAGATCACGATGTGTGTCGAATTATTTAATCACCTCTGAACGACCCACTTATGTGGGTCAGCAGTCAGCATTTCATTAATATTCAATGTTAATACCATATTGTTTTAGTATTAATTTATCCGATTGATTTATTATGTTAATTACTTAATAAGATCAATTAATTTTTCTTCGGTTTTATTCTATACGCCTATAGTGGGTATTTTTTTGAAGAGCTCGACCATCCATCCCATCATATTAAAACGGACAATTACACTAATAATTGTTGAACTGGAAAATACCTAACATGACCGATCATTAACGAACCTTTTTGGAATTAATAACGTTTGATCCCATTTTCAATCATCATCATAATTATTTTTTAGTGTTGGATACCTCTTTTCATTAGATTGATTGAGATTGCTAATAAATCAATTAATCTAGCATTTAATTCCAGGTTTATTGAATATTTTCATTCATTTCATCCTGTCATATCCAATATTTTTATCATGATTTCATCAAGAATTTTTTGAATTTTTATTGAAATATTAAAAAATTTAATGTGAAAAATTACAGCCGGAACATAAAATTAGTTCAAGCAGATAATTGATTAGCCAATTAAATTACCAAGCATTAAGCAGGATTTACTCCTGCCGATGGGCTATTAAAGACTTAAATGTCCTTAAACGTCCAGGCACAGTACAGGCAACAAGTTAGTTACATTATTAGCGTAAAAAATACCAAGCGTGTAGATAATGCGACTGCCGTATAAAATACACAACGAACGAACGAACACAAAAATAAACCCTATCAATTCTCGTTTATAAGGACAACACCTCCATGTAACCGTATCTGGGTATAGAGAAGCCGGTAATACGTCAATAAATCCAATACCAGTTATCAGTGATCTATTAAAGAGAGTCGATCTCTTTCTGTCGACGGCCGTCGGCGTAGGTGCCGTCCTCGTCCTAAGCTCAGGTGGGTTGAGCACCGGCAGGTAAAGCCTGCCTATCGCGTAAGCACAAATAGCCAACGAGGTAGTGAGGTAGCGGTGGTTACCTCATTCTCCGAGGTGCTCGCTTGGCGTAAGCTTGAATATCGACTTCTTTTAGTTTTAGTTCGGCGGCTCAGTTGCTCAAAACGCGCTCACACATACCTACTCACGGTACATATACACAAACGCACTCGCTCACAAACTGATGATTTTCGAGACGGTTTGACGGTTTCGAAATGTTGATTTCTTCGAACGGAAGTGGTCTCAGTGCAGCCGGAAACGATTTTTCTAGTGTGGCTGCCCTGTCGGGGTGCTGTCCCGTTCCTGTTACTCCTGCGGCGCGATCGGCTATCGTTAATTGGAAGATGGACTCCGTCGGATTGCCGCCGGCCAACGCGGTGGCCGGCGTTCTGCCGCCGACGGCCATCCCGCTCTCGCCAACAGGTTTGAAATATTTATAATTTTTTTTAATGAAAAGATATACCTACTTCATTAATTCAATCTACCTCATTCGCCTGTTTCTAAATTTTGGTGGAAGGGAAGCACAATATCTTTAAATGTTTGACAATATAGTTCGGTCACTCTTCATCTTAATTAGGTCTATTTACGAGTATGATTTTTTAAACCACATATCCTAATTCAACAGAATAATTCTGTGAAGACAATTCTTTATTAAGTACCTATAAGAATTTTAAAATGCCTTATTAAAATATACGAGTAGGTAGATAAATAATTAGCAATTGTTAATAGTAATTCAATTATGTATTTAGTTTCACTGTATTCCTAAAGATTTATGTTCTGAAGCGCCTGGTGAAGCGCCGGCGTTGACGGTTTTTTTCACGAGATTTAAATTTATAGCCATTCCGAAATGTTCAGGTAGATTGTGTCGCCGATAAATTAGAATATCTAACGAACTTTAATACTCTTATTTATAGTATTCACGTGAACAAGTTAATAAGATGCTCGATTCAACCGAACTCCTAAAGTAAACAAACTTTAATCCGGGTATATGTTTGAATTTTTAAGTTTTATCGATTAAGAGCTAATAAATTTTATATTAATTATATGGTACCTACATAGTTGATTCAATATACTATTTTAAAATTTAATAGTCTAAAAATAAAATAGAACATCCTCTAATTCCTGAATAATTACCCCCGTCTGCTGTGATTCCAGCAATTAAATATCAATCCATTTCTCAACAAAATAATATGGGAAAATTATTTTCCTTATAAAGTTCTATATAAAAAATTGGTAATTTGAATTATGTACCTGCTTCTTACAAACGGCATATTGTCAGTTCCTGCGGATATCCTTAGACAAAAATTTCTAATTAAAATATTAAAAAAAAAACAATTAAAATCCACCAATTAATATAACCTCGATATTTATTCGGCGCCCACTTATTCTTGAATATCAACCTTTTTTAAAACTTTGGTAAGTCAAGGGCGAGAAAGCTTCTAATGACTAAGGTTCCGCTTGCACACTCCAAAAAAAAAAAACTAATGAAACATTGGCAGTTCTACAAATGGTTTCAATTTAGCCACACCTACATTATACATGTATGTACATAAAATACGAGTACGAAACCGGCAGGCAAAATTTAAATTGAAATTCTGCCGATGAAAGTGAGCGACTGGGTAATTGTCGTATTTAAAAAGCAATATTTTACAAAGCCGTTTATGTAGATTGAACAGGTTTTAAAGGTTTTGTTTCCAGATTAAGTCCATTAATATTCATTGCGCTGGTATACGTATATTATTTTATAAAATTGGTAATAACGCCTAGCGGTTATGTGCGTATCGGTATGGTCACTTTTATACAAACGAATTAAGTTATATTTTATTTTGACTGAACCATTATATTACATTGTATTTTGATATTTTTTGATATCTATGGATCAATAGAAATAGCTGGAAGACTCGATGATTGAAGACCGTGCAGCCACAAGAGAACATATAAGAGGTTTTTTTAAACTATATTTTTTAAGAGCTATTTTGAGAAAAAATAATGATTTTAATAAAATGTACAAATTGATAACAGAATCATGGTTATACTATACTAAAAAATTAGTTCGCATCGCCATATACAGAAAGCTCTACTTCTTCGAATCCGTCGGATTTTTTCCGAACTTCTCGGAGAAATCGTCGAGGAACGTCGGCTCGATATTAATGAAACCCAGTTCGCAATAAATCAATTAAAAATGATAATTAATTTGGCTTTTTTTACATTCTTTTGCATTTCAGATACTTGCGCAATGTTTGTTATGATTAATATTTATACGGCGTCTAAGCGAAACGTTGCGATCGGAGCCGGAGGAACTTGTATAAATCGACGATAATTGATATCAATTAGTTTTCTGCCGTATGGTCCGATCGCAAAAACTGACACAATTAAAATGTTGGGAGTTATTATGAAAAAATCGTGACAAATTGTATACGCTTTCCAACGTTTAATCGAAGCGAATTTTATTAATCTCGCGCTCTTTCTTAACAAAGCCTCATGAATCCTGCATCGACCATCGAGAAGAGAAATTAAGATATTTTAACATCGTAACTTTTAATTTAACCTCTCCTATACTGGTATATTTATTTTATATAATTTTTACCCTAAAATGGGTTTTTAATAGCCAACCTATATCTATAATTTTTTTGGAGACAAGCATCGCTTGTAAAGTATCCAAAAAGTATGCCGAATGTGACATACTTACCTCACGTGGTGCCCGGTAGGTGAAACAGGTGATATGTTACAACAAAGTTCTCCTCGTTTTCTTTTTTCCTGCTACCTATTATTTTATCTGTCAGCCGTTTTATTAAAATGCGAAGTGAGGACATGTGTTTTCTTCCGACTTTAAACAAGACATTTTCACTACTGATTTCGTTAAACGCGCAATTTGTTTTATCGCAGGTGGCCATATCTAATGAGCTCCGTATCTCTGCGTGTTGATCTACGTGCTTCCTTAAATACTGTAAACATATTTTAATAAATTAATTGAGGCGATATATTATTCTGGAGGAGATTTTTTACTACCAAATTAGCACTAGATTTATGTGTTATATCGAACATTAGATTTGTTATTACCTAAAGCGGGATATTTAGAGTGAAATTGTTACCTATTGTGGTAAAGAATTCTAGAAGATGTTATAGGATATCATGAACAAAATATGATTAAGTAATCAAAGAAACATTTTCAATCTAATTGTTTCTTATATGCAATGGCAAAAAAACACAAGCTTTTAGGCTAGATTTTTAAAATAAATCTTGAGCGAATGTTTTTATAATATTGTTCATTTCAGTGTCATCTTCCTCGCCGGCGATTTCGAGCGCCGTGTCGGCGGTTTCATCGGCTTCAGTGCCCTCTTCCTTGGGCCCGGCGGCGCTCCGGGAACTGTACGGAAGCACAGCCGCCTCTCCGGGCCACCCGTTGGCTTCTTTGGTGTCCCAGCAGAGGTTCCTGGAACTGTCCCGGTTCGGCCTCAGGCACTACGACATAGCGCAGCACATGCTAACTCAACAAGGCGCCGTCACCAAATTATTAGGTAAGAATTCGTAGAGGTTTTTGGGTTATTACGTGAAATTAGTTTTGATACATTTGCGGCCAATTACGCCGAAAGTGGAGTAATTTCGACAAATTTGAATAATTAAGTTGTAAATGAGCTCGCAAGCTTAGTTACCGGCGGAATCGTCGTGAGCAGCAACTAAGTAATAATAGCAAAGTATTCGTATATAGATAATGTGAAGTTGGGAAGAACGACGATTTTCATGCATCATGAACTGCGGCATAAAGCTGTACGAAAGCCCGCATTACCGTCCTCTTGCTCGACCATTTAAGCAATTTCGCTTGTCAAAAGTGATAGACGTGTGTGAGTATCTGCTTGTATAATTATTTAATTCCGATTCTTGTCGTATTTGTTCGACAAATAAACTATTTATTATGGCCAGCGTTCGCGTAATGATAACGTATACGTACGGCTTATTATGTATAAATATGTTTATTATTTGTGGAACAAGAAAAAATTCGAGCGGATTTCGCGAAAAATTATAGACTGTATAGACGAGCGGAATGCACATGCAGGCTTGCATTATTAAATCCTTTATGCGAAATCCGACGGAAGTATGTGCGATTGTCATCGATTTTGTCAATGGGAAATATTAAGGTCGAAAGTTCTTTACGTTTCGAGTTCAATGATAAATGATAGATACCTACAAATTATGTACCAGCACCTATATGTAGAAAAAAATTGGATAGTTAAAGATGAGAAATTTACCGATCCAATTGCAGGTTTTTATAATTTATTCAGTCAACAAGAAGCAGAAACGAAAAGCGAGAATTGTCTTTCCGCAATAATTCATTTGCATGAGCGATTATCGTGGAAGACACTCGAGCAGTCCGAGTCATCTAATTACCGACTGCGAGAAGAATAATTCTCCGTACGCCGTTAATGCCGGTGATTAAAAAGTCGATGGTTATCGAGAGGCACCCGTAAAAAACGAAGATCTTAATCGAAGCCCTCGATATACAATTAAAACCTATAACAAATCTTTGGATTACATTCAAATCCTATCATTTATTAAGAATTAAGCGCATAAATCCTCATAACCAGACCGTATAAATCGTGGTCGCTTTTCACCAACAATTAACTCTGAATTTATGGGCTCCGGCGTTTTTGCCCTTTGGTCAACGAAACGGTCCCGCGCGTAGATGGTTTTCAGCCACCGATTGCCCGCTCGAATCCAACTGGTCATTGCTTTATGCTGATTTTTCGAACACCTTTTACTCATTTCGATCTTGATACCAGCACAACTATGTGTTAATGGTTATGGTTAAAACGTTACCTCGTTTAATTTACGACCGTATAACAGATGCGCTGTAATGCTGTGATAACAAAAAATCTCTTAGAATTTTATAAGAAAGACGTCAATAATTAATATTTCCTTTAGTGAATGATTTTTTTAACAGTTTACTTATTAGAATAATCCGATTTTTTGCGTACTTTTATGCAAGCTTACTTAGTAATTTTACGGTTCTGTTAACATCTTCGGCATGAGTTTTTAAACATATAAAGATAATTGCAAGTTGCTTAACGAACGTAAGCATAACATTCCTTAATGAACTAAAACGGCATAAAATGTCGTCGTAAAAATCCCACTAATTATACCAACGCGAAAGTAGATGTGTGCTAAATTTAATTTATTGGAATACCTACATTAATTAGATGGACTACTGAATTAGATGATTATAGTTTTTTTTTCCGCTACTACTCTGTGTTTATTTGAAATTATTTTCCAACACTTCCAGCGAGTAGTAATTTTACAAACCGAGTTAGTAATGAATTACGAGCCATTCAAAACGTTATTAAATGTAGGTAACATCCACATTATAAACAAGAAATTATCCTCCGGCCACGAGAGTATAGCTATTCGCGGAGCAATGCATAAGCAAATAAATCTAGACTGGCGAATAAAATGCGAAAATCCCTTCGGGGGGTCATCGAATTCCCCACATTACCGACACGGTACAGTGCTACAATTTCAATACGGTAGCGTAGAAATCTGCATTGAATTGCCGTTTTGTAATTGACGTTTTGCTACCGATCTAAACTACATAATAATTTCCGTTCGCGAACAAAACGCCATTGCAACGTTCGCAACCGCCTATTATAACATTCAGCTTATAATTTTCTTAGTGTTATATTGTGATATATCACTATCTAATTACTCCGCAAGAGACTCGATTTGCTCTCCGCTTTGTTTGGTGATGCCAAGCCGAGATTATTGTTGCCAATGCAAAAATCGAATTGCAGCTTTAACTAGTATTAATTCCATCCATACGACAGGCTAAATTTAATAATAGGAATCAAGCAATTGGCCTTTAATAAATTCATTCAATGCTGCAAAAAGAGGAATTTGTGTATCTACTTATAATGATGATATGTAGGTAAAAGTTCCAGGTGTGATAAAAGATTTGTTTAAGAATTGAAAAGGAGAGCTAGATGTTCTGTGTTATTTTTGATTTATTTATTTAATTGGCGCAATAATTAACCTTTTTTTCGAAGGTAAAAACACAAAGGGTTAATTTGTACCTACTTAGGTGTTACATGTAAGGATTTGTTGTATATTTTGAAAAAAAGGCATGAAAATAATTATGCAGGCAGAAAAAGGAGTTAATAACATAAATCGAGGGCCTTCGAAATATCCCTTAGGGAGTATGTAACGAGTACTAAAGGATTACGAAAACTAATTACAATGGATTTCTTGGTTTCGTCTTTCAAGTAGCCATCTCGCTTGAGGCTCTTGACGGCACTGAAGATATTCTTCGCATCGCGTCCAGTGCCGTACTTATAGAATTTCTTCAATCGAATTTATACAGTGTAACAAACGCCAATTAAAATTGCAGATAAAGAAGGAGGTTTTTCTTCGTATTAACCGTTTTTCCAATCTAATGCTCTCTAATAACCAGTTGGAATAATTAGGTATAATGCTAAACGCGGATCCATTCGTCACCGTCGACAGACGTATAAAAACAGAAATTAGATGGAATTCGTAGAAAAGGCGTTGCACCGATCGATGTCCGACACGACACGACAATTTTTCAATTATACTTGGCAAATAACGTTGATAGCAGACGTCTCCCGTCTGCGCAGGTGTCAATTAAACACATGCAAAAGATGCAGATAAACCGACGATTTGGTGGAATTACGATATTATTTCTATTATTCGAACCGGCGGGCCGAGGAAAATGCACATCCTATCCACACAACACATGACTACTTCGGTACCAAAGGGGTTTCGGTTCGCAGGAGATTTTGCCAGGACAATTTTCTATTTTAGTCCTATCGACTTGGACTTTTTAAGGACTCTCTCAAACAACCCAAGGGTGGATTGAACCAGATTAGTATTTTATAAAACTACTAAAGTAATGATCATAGTTTTGGTTTACAAACAATGCGAATTTACTGAAGTGTTGAAGCATTTTTGGTGGGTATAAAAAAATCGAGTATGGTATACGAAATTAAAGCAGCTAGTGAGCGAGTAATTCGTTGCAATTAATACATTGGGATTGGGAGCAGAAACGGAATAACGGTACGGGCGTTTCGAGTTGGAAGATGCTCAGATAAGAAAATGTTTAAATTTAAACGGTCACTTAGGTATGCAAAACACCTTTTACCGCTCAAATGGTAGAAAGATCGCTGGCTGTGATCCCGATATGAAATATTACAAATAATAACAGACCGTCGCCCGCGTTTTTATACGTTTGTTCGCCTTTTCGGCCTTCCGTTGTTTGTTCTGAGGCAAACCATGACGCGTTCGCTCAGATACCGATAATTACCGAGAGCGCTTTGCGAATTTTCCTCTCCTCTTTTCGCTCGCTTTTTGAATGCCGGATAGGTTTCGCGTGTAACTACCAATTTCGCTTGAAAATTTGCGGATAATTCTGAAAATCCCGCGACAATTACTAGCGAACTCGACTCGATTTACCGGTAATTGCTACCTCTGCATTCTAATTTTCCAAATGCGAGCATGCCCACGCTCAATTGTTACCCATTACATAACGTAACATTGGTAATGTTTGTTGTGGTATAGAACTTTTATAAAGCAACAACAAAATAATATATAAAACCCGAAGCGATCGCGCCTTCACAATTGCACGTCCATTGTACTTTTCGATAATAGCTCCCTCCGCCAATTACCAACGTTTCTAATCGCATTTTCCGAGCACGCTATGACCCCGCGAAACCAATAAGCATGCTTCCATACGACGCGATACATCGAAATCACACGGTGTACACCCTTTAACGAAGGCCGTCGCACACACGGCATTCCATTTTGTGAAGTGATATCGTGACCGAACTTATTTTACCTTTTCATCATCTGTTTTTGTGTGTGTATTTCACGGAAAGAGGAACAATGTACGAATGCGACATGTGTTTGGACGCGACTCCGTTCACGCAGCGTCGGCACACATGGAGTTATCAAATATTTTCACCACAAAAACATAGGGCAATATTTACCCTTGATCTATACAAACCATCAAAAATATTAGTGTTGTTATGAAAGGAATTTTGGAGAAGGGACCAGAGGAATAAACTCAAGAAGCTATAGCTTTAGCAATTCCTTCTTCTTCTTCTTGGTCTATATCCTCTGTATTCTACTGGTTTTATGAAACCATATACTCAAGTTTTTCCGCCACTAGATTCTTCTTCTACCCAGAAAAATCCTTCCTCTTCTTCATTGAGCCAATTGTGTATAAGAGTAGTTTTTCCCTAAAAATTCCTTTATTTATGTAAAAGTGTATCTCATATCTTACTATTATTAAATTCACATGTGATATTTCTCATTTAAAAAATTGACAGGTTAATTTAATAGTCTGTATGTGAGTGTGCGTAACAAAATGATAAGTGAACCAGCCCGAACAAAGGCGATGAAAAAATCGGTACGATTTAATAACTGGACATTAGAAAAGTTGTCGGGTATATCACATAAAGTTCCAAGTTATCATTGCTCGAGCAAGAGTAGTTATTATTTACCGTCAAGGTTTGTCTAACATGCTATCTACAAAATGGCCGACTGTCTAGGAGCATTTAATATCTGCAGGTAATAACCGACATTATCATATCGCATTAATATGCTATGCGGATTATTTATTTAAGCGAGTTTACCATTTCAGCTACCAATGTGTAATTTTCCGTTCCATTGTAATTAGGTATAGGTTCGAATTTACGTCGGTGGTTCATTATTAAGTAGAAGATAGATCTTTGAATATTGGTGTGCTGTAGAATTGTTCAATTTACTTTTCGTTGTCATGATATAAGTATTGCAAGTATAAAACACGAAAAATTCATGAGGAAAATTTTAATCGATTTGTTACTGTGAAAGTGAAAATTTACCGCAATGATTATTAGAGAATTTTTAATTTTTTTTTCGTAACTATAGAAGTGTATGTATTTTTTTAAGTGGATACCAATATAGTGGCATTAAAAATTGTGACGGTTGTTAAGGTGTTCATACCAATCAGTGAGAAGCAATTTTGTCATTTTTTTGAGCTGAGAATTCACCAATCGCTGGACCACACGCATCGATGGTACTCTGAGGTTAGACGCTTTTTTCCTTTCAATTCTAACCGGAATCAATTTTAGTAATTGATTTCTCCTAGTTACGAGAATCGTTAGTATGATCTCTGTTTAAGCGTGAATAAATGGGAAAACGATTCAACTCGTTACTGATTGACTAATATTGGTTTTTGTTCCCAGAAAAATGAAATTGGATTTTTTGTAGTTTGATTCGACCGCCAATCTAGCGCTAATTGCATTTAATTCTGGATGAGGAATTTCTTTATTTTTAGGTACACAAAAAATTTATCACTGATTTAGGTATTGATTATAATTTTTATGTTCATTATTTTATAGAGAATTTGATCTTAGCGTACTATTGTAATGGTCATAAGAACAAAGTATGAATTAGAATATTGAAATTTTTTTATAACTAATTTATTATTGTTGGATGTCTATTAAATGTTATTGTGAAATGACAATTGCGCGCCCCTGTATATTAAATCGCATGTCAACGTATCTGACACGCAACAAAAATGTTGGCTGCGCACCCACAGATAGATATTACAGTTTCTTATAGTATAACTAAGTTAATTTGCATTCATGTGACCGTACTTTGAAATACTTCAATTTAAATCACACACAACAAAAACCGATATAATGGCAGCCCGAAATGCTCTCCTCGGGCCATTCCATGCGTAAACTCCATTATTTTTTTGTGTAACATTTCGTTCGTTTCAATTCCGTTACGCGAACGTCGCATTTCCGTAAATTTGGTAAGCTTTGTTGGAATTTGCTCCAATCACGTTAATTACGAAGATCCCAAAGCGTTTCGTGAAAATTTGTCTCGAAATATTTTTTACCGGTTAACGCGATCAATATCAATTATGTCTCGTTTAAGTGCGCTGGAATTTCACCAGCAAAAAGTCCAAATAAACCAATAACTGAACCTAAGCAAGCTTAACGAAACGGTTTTTGCTAATTGTTTTAATATTACTATTAGATGGTTTAAAGAGACGAGAGATAAGTTCACTCAGTAGGTAGTACCTACCCGGCGAATCTTCTTATATCAAGCGAGGCGCAATGGAGATGCAATCACGTCGATCGGAGCAAATCAGAACTTGGGCATCCGAATCCGAAAATAATCAGAACCCCCGGTAATAAGACCCGTCGAATTGCAATGACCATACAAAGAATTTTATATCACTTTAATGACGCAAGTTTTTGCGACGGCAGCGCGCATTCGCAGGCATGCAAACTCCGGGACGTGTGCCGTGAATTTTAATGTTCAACATACGCACGATGGAATCACCGGCGATTTTTGACTTTTTTTTTTCATTCATTGAATGTACCGCACTACCTCTATTATCCTATCGATAGACTGTATACTTTATCTGTAGCTAAATATGAAACATTTTTATTGCGGTTATCCTTAAAGCAATACTAAGCTACCCAAAATAATTAGCCTGTATCTTAAACAAAAAAAATAAATTTATACCAAAGCGGAAAATAACGAGACAAAAAATTCAATTTGTAACTGGAAACAACTTATACCATGCCGACTTACATTCGTCATTTGCTTTTATGTCATTTCGTTTTATTCCATTCACCCTCTTGTTATTGTTAATAGCTAAATAGCACCTTGCGATCAAATATTAATGATTTAGAAAAAAGTGCTTGCGATATCGCTGAAAACCTTGCTGTATAATGAATAATGTATCAACAACTTCGACACACACGAGACAGATGCGACATTTACGGCACGTGGAGCAATATTTTGAGGAGGATTCCAGAAAAAAGGACGATTGTGTTTCGATTATTTTGTAGAGGAATTTGTACCAATTGCACGTGTCAAGAAAAAAAAACACCTTTTTCGAAAATTTATACCTAATATAGTGATTAATTTTGCGCTATCTTGCTGTTTGTATAAAAAGGAAAGGAACTTTCCTAACGATTATTTTAGTGTTTTTTGAATAAAAACAGTGTTTTCCCATAGCGCTCATTCGGCTCTATTCCATCAATCACTTCTAAGAGTCATTTAAAATGCACGATGCATAATTACCATCGGACCCATATGGCAAGGGTAACCAACATGGTACTTCCAGTACCCGCCTGGATTCCAGTGATGCCTTTATTTGCTTAGACACGACTGTATTCGAGAGAATATATCCTCACTCAATGACAAATCACTACCATTGATTTTTATGGCATTGCCGATGTAAACATTTTTTTTTCGGCAACTTGGTACTGCCGGCATAAAAAAATTTATTGCTTACTGTTTGTCGCTGGCAAGACATTCTTGTTTTCGATGGAAAGGTAAAAAGTTGAGCATTGACACAATGGTTTCCTTAAATAGTGCTAATAAGGCTGTTGCACACGGAATACATCAAGAAATCTGAAGAATAAGCAAAAACACGGCATCTTTTCGAAAGGTACGCACAAGAATTCAACCAGCGGCGGACGCCTTCGAATTTACAATTAATACTAAACTCCTTTGTAGCAGACAAAGGATATATTTCTTTAAATAAAAACATATAAATTCCTTTCAATGATCAAGTTAATAGGATTACGAAACTATAAATCAATAATTCCTCCAATAATTCCTAGTAAACTATAGTAAGAATATTTTTATCTTCATGCAATTAAACTGGCCAACTCATCAAGAAGTGATGTAGAAGAAAATTACAATTTTATTGGTGCATTCCAGGATATCATAATATCAAATTGTACTATCAGGATTTTTTTGTTGCAGGTACTTTGAGGCCACCAGGATTAATAGGAGGCAGTAAACCGAAAGTAGCCACACCAGCCGTCGTTTCCAAAATAGAACAGTACAAAAGAGAAAACCCTACGATATTTGCATGGGAAATCAGAGAACGACTGATATCAGAAGGTTAGCAATTTTCTATACTAAAAATTCCAATTCTCTAACAAACTTATACATTACATCCAAACAATACAATTTAATAATTGTGTAAGATAATTGAAACTCACACCTTTCACTCGGGTTTCTTTTCTCGTTCTTCCTTGTTTCACAACACGTACAAATAATTCCACATCGAAAATAACGCATAAATATCCATCATTCGGAGATGCTTCAACAATGACTTCGTACCGAAACGAATTAATCCAATAGTCGTATAACCGTTGGTTCGTTAGCCCAGAGGGTTGAATAGGAAATTAGTCGACAGATAAATCAAAAACGGCGTTCGATCGGTAGATATACTATCTGATAGTCGGATACTTGAGCGATCATGATCAATGTGGCCGTATGATTAATACGAAATTATTAATCACTGATCAGTCACCTTGTAATTACGCGCTAAGGTGGATCCCTTCTGTTCTCTCTTCTCCATATCCCGGCCGTTCCGATTCGAAAGTAGATTTATTCGATTCGTCTTTAGGTAACACTTTTTGTTAGTATCTACTAGGAAATGGTTTAAAATCGTTTACGAAATGATGGAGTTTTGGGTATAAATCGCCAGGAAAAGGTGTCGAGTCGTTGAGCAAGGTTACGTTTTATAACAATTAACTAGATTGCCACCTACGTGGAAGCTCGCTGTAGTATCGATTACGTCCTTTGTCCATATTTCAATTGCGCTGCCATTTTTTAGGTTCCCTGTTGTGTCGATTACTAGGTCTCAAGTTCACGTTAAAACTAGATTGTTTTACTCAAAATACATGGAAAAGAAATACTATATCTTACGTTTCTATTAAAATAACATCGCTTTCATAAGGAAAACTACTTTATTTTATTCGATTTTTATTAGGATTATTAAAAATACGTAATTATTCAATTTAAGAAATAAAAGTAGGTCCATATTGCGAAATAACCGTTCGATTAAACACGCTAATGGTAAGCTGATTGCTATAAGCCGGAGTGGATATCCTTTTTTTCGCGTTTTTTTCTTCGCACTCGTCGATAAAAATCAAACTTACGAGTAAATTGGTGTTGCGGTGTTTGCGGTGAATATCGAGCATTGAAGTGTTCGAATTCACACGCAGCATGGATCATCGTAAAAAAGGAAAATGGCTGTGTCATGTGTTCGTCACGGAAAGTATCTTTTAATTTTATTTAATCATGCGTGGTTCGAGAGAAACACGCACAAAAAGAGGCGACTTTGTTAGAAAATGTAATTGCAGTCGCCACCGTTGCTCGAGCTACATATTTCTTCTCTAGGAATCGCTTATGTGTAATTATTGCTCGTTTTTGTCCCATGAAAAATTATTAATTCTAATATGTGTCGCTGCACGCACTGGTTTTTAAAATGTTGATGATTTGATTTCCACTAGTTGGTTGACCATTTACTTCCTAATTACTGTTATTTCTTTATATGCGTTCGCAAATACGTTGATAGCGAAATATAATTTAATATCCACTTGGTACAATGCATAGAAAATGTACTTGCTTTTTTTCTTATTGGTGAAGATATTACGAGTTTACCTTAAATGGGTGGCTTAATAGAGCCTGGACAAATACACCATAATAATTGATTATTCTGTTTATTAAATTGGTTGATTTCCGATTTCGTTACGAGCAAAATAACGACGCATACCATCATTAATTCCTCCTTCGAAGAGGAGCTGCGAGCGATCTTCGAACCTCTCCCGATCCCTCGCCTTGTTCCATTGACAAGATAATCATCTCTCATTAGTGGAAATAAAATATCGAGTGGCAAATTATCGCCTTTTCTCTATGAGAACCGGAGATTAGTGACGGCTCGCCGCTCGAATTCGCAGCTCACCATTACAAAGCGGATATTGTGGAGCTTCTTTGTCACACGTATGCAGCGTCGTTAAAACGTCGAACAGTCGATTGTTTGCTTAGGCTTTCGATGGTCGAGAAGTCGATTAAATGAATGCCGTCGATTTTATTTGTCGAGTGGAACTTCCAAGGATGCCTTGTGGGAATTCGAGTCGAAGGGATGCGGATAATTGGGGAGCAATTTTCTAAGTAAAAAGTCATCTTCGATTAGTGCTAATCTTATAAGCGTTTAAATGATTGGGTGTTATTGGAGCATGTACTACTTTCTTTTTTCTTCTTTGATCGGTTTCGTTATTGAAACTGTAAAATACACGTTGCGAATAGCGTTATTGTGTGAAGATGTTCAAAGAATGTTGTGTCATATACACCTTGGAAAGGCTTATCGCGTGTCGTGCGAACGAAAACACCTCCTAATGTACGGTAGAAGCCGCAGAAAAATAACGAATCAATGACAATGTTTCGGAGTTTTATGTTATTGTTTGGGATGGCCAGACGGGCATTGTAGCGGTTCGTCCTTCGACCGCAAAACGGCGCGGCAAATTATAGTCATCCGCGGCCGAAGAAAACGGAAAAACTGGCTATTTTGTGCCGCAAATTGCACGGAACGGGGAGCTCGATATTAAAAATTACGTCGGCCCTTTCGGCCATATGCTCATCCGCAATGAGCGTTTACTTTTCGAGAAACGTTTACCTAAATTAAATACCTACAATGTTTAATTTTTTGTTTAATTGTAAGGTACTCTTAAAGCTTCAATCTCGAGTCCAAGCGTTTCTAACTCGCCCATCTTTTTTCCAGGAGTATGCACGAACGCCACGGCGCCGTCAGTAAGCAGTATCAACAGAATACTGCGCAACAGGGCGGCCGAAAGGGCCGCCGCGGAATTCGCCCGGGCCGCCGGTTACGGCCTGTACCATCCCCATCCCTACGCCACGGCGGGATTCCCCTGGCACTCGCCGCTCTGGCCCAACGGCCCGCTGGGCCTGCCGGGCCCGCCCGGCGCCGGCAACCCCACCGTCATGTCGGCGTCGCCGGTGTCGTCGGGCTCCCCGCACCCGGACAGCGGGCTGTTGTCGTCGCCGCCCGGCAACATGGACAAGGACGATTCCAGTCTGGATAGCTCCGAGCAGCCCAAGTTCAGGAGGAACCGCACCACATTCAGCCCCGACCAGCTCGAGGAGCTGGAGAAGGAGTTCGAGAAGAGCCATTATCCTTGCGTTTCGACGCGGGAGCGATTGGCGTCGAAGACTTCTTTGTCCGAAGCTAGAGTACAGGTAGGTTCATAAATTTACTACTAACTAAATCGGTCGAAATCTGGACCGCTTGTATGTTATATAATAATTATCATAAAAACACTAATTGGTGTATTGTAACCAGGTTTGGTTTTCCAACAGACGAGCGAAATGGAGACGCCACCAGCGCATGAATTTGCTGAAGCAGTCCGACGGCGGTGCGGGTCATCAGGGTGGTTCATCGAACCAAACGTCGATGTTCGGCGCCCGATTAACGCCTTCGCCCCATTACAACAAGGCCGGCTCCACGCCTGGCTCGCCGCTCACCACCCACCTCAATGCCCACCCCGGTGCTTCGTCGCTCCTGTTGGGTATGGGCGGCGAAAATAGCGCCTTCAAGGCTTTGGTGCCCGGCGCCCTGCTGGGCGCCCAGGAGAGATTAAGGAGGTGAGTCTCCCTTAAACTCAATCTCTATATGTATCTCTTCTATATTTCTTCATCTATATCTCTTCATCCATATTTCTTCATCTATGTTTCTTCATGTTTATTTGGGTATTTATTGGGATTTGTCTGTTTATTGTTGACAGACTTAGCGGGTACGCGAGCGACTCCGAGGAAGAGATCAACGTTAACGACGAATCGGACGCGGAGGAGCCGACGGAGAGGATATCGGTGAGATCTTCGAGCCCGGTGGACGTCGTCGACGTGACGGCGAAGGAACCGCCTACGTGTCAACCGTTGCAGCTCACCATGCACAATCGCGACTAACGACCAAGTAATTATTTCTTCTTGTTGAACGCGAAAAAGTTGGAAATATTGGAAGCGTTTTAGATGAAATCTAGATGGGGATTTTTTTTTGTAGTTTTGTTTTGTTTATTTCGATTCGCGAATTTGTTTTATTGCATTGACTCTTCCAATAATTTCTAAATTAGTTTTTTTAGACTGATTTTATTGTTTACGTTTTATTTTTACTTCAATTTCATTCGACGCTGAATTAATTCTCAAAAAACCAAAGCATTTATTTATGTAACTATTTATACGTTGTAAATAATACTTATTATAATTTGTACAGTTCCTTCAATAATTTTAGTAAAATAGTGTGTAAGACTTTGAAAGTTCGAAAGACAGTTCGAAACTTAATTAAACCTTCCTCGTTTCTTGTATAAGTACCTAAATTAACTGTAAGTACCTGCTTCATCACAGAAGACCAGTGAACATCACCCAGTGTTTTATTTATTCATTTTTCTATACCTAATATACTTTCTTAATTCGACATTTGCTTCTTACATCTTTTCCACTATTTGTACGGCAATAATCAAAATTCATTTATTTAAAACCTTTGTGCAATAATTTAAAATTCGACTCCAATTCCATCCAATTTGGTTGAAATAAAATTGAAAACATTCGGTTTAATTTTGTTACAATAAATTTCCGTTGTTACAAATAAATTGTAAGAGCAAAGCAATTACCTAATAATCATATCTAAACATTTCTCTACAATCCTCAAGAGGTTGTAATTGTTACTGTATTATAGCATATAAGGTGTAATTATTGTTAATAAAAGTGATTTGAATTAAATGCAATAGATTTTTTTAACTCCTCAATTTCCAATACCCTGATATTTCGAAGAAATATAAAATTCCCCACGTACAAGCATTATTTTTATTATTTAATTGGGCATCTATCGATTTCATTTAGGTAGTTTTTTAATAGCTTCTCAATTAGGCAGCTATCGAATGCATAAATATTCCATCACAGCTCTATTCTCAACAAATTTCGAATGAAAGAGATAAGAAAGCTTCTCGAGGTATTTGTATAATTATTATACCTCGCCCTAATAAAGGCCTTATTCCAAAACGAAAGTGTCGATTCCAATGTAGTCGAATTAAGTTGTCCATTATACGTGCGTAGGTATACCGAATAAGGCAATAAAATGAAATAATACGTATCAGACCAAATGGACATCTCGAATAAATTATGGCGATTGAATAAGTTAGGTGTTAGAGTCTGTTAGTAGGTACTTAAACGCTTGCCCGTGACGGATTTTTTTAGAAATCCACTGTAGAAATTTTTATGAATTTATTCTTATTAATTAAACGACACAACGACTATTTGACAAGTATGTAGGACGGTTTGGAGGCAATTTATATGACAATCGATTAGAAACAAGCATGCACCTGCACGGTGCAGTAACAGCGCAAAACGGAAAACTAATTAAAATCACTTAAGGACACAATAACATTTCGTAATCAATTCGGAGATCACCCCGAGCAGCGGCGATTGATTCACGATTTGACCAATATCTTCGTTGGAGATTTATACTCAAAAATCAACCTTAGGCATAATTTTGAATTATAAATCACACGCGTTCCGTGGGACTTCAAATTAATTACCGATGTCGCTATATCGAGGCAACGCTCGGGATAATAGATGGCGCTTTCTTTTGAAACCACCGCTCATGGCGCGGATTTAATTAGTAAATAGCCCATTAAGAATATAGTGGAAGTGGTAAAAAATACTTATATATACGATTTGTTATACTTTATCAAAACTGGAAATATTTTTATAAATCACTAATTCACAAATTTTCTACGTATAATTAAAGTGTTTTATGGTCTCATTTAGGATTTTTTTCTTCGCTCAAAGGAATATATCACCATCACTATTTAAATTTTTTTGTGCGAATATTAATACCATGTTTGTGTGTGGGCCATTTACCTAAAACTATTTTGACGCACACGCCCCGATTTAAGAAGTTTTCGACGTTGATTTAATGGCCTTTTTCTAAATTAAGGTGCGAGCTTTTAATTCCCCGGGTCCCGTCCAGAGGCAGGCCGAATAATTATTATTAAATTAACTTGTTTGGTTTATTCATTGTGCGTAAAATGATTTATGGGCGACTGACGAGATTCATTTCGTTAGGAAATACACAAAAAAATGTATGAAATGAACGAAGTTAATAAACTAATTAATTCGAGGAAAATTCATATACAAAAGGATTTGATCGCCCAATAAAAAGCGATCGTTCCCGCTTTTATATCGACTACTTTAAACTGATATACGGTGTGAATCAGTATCGTAAAATGACAGTGACCCGACAGTGATTTAGAGCGCGCCTTTATCGTCGAATGAAAAAAAAAATCAATTAACAAATCTTGTGTAACTTTTCTACATTTACGGGGCTCAATAAAATGCAGGAAATAGTGTAGAAGAGGCGCGTTTTTAGCCGTGTCCCGGAGAGATTTATCGCCGGCCGTAAAACGTGGTTTTCGGTCGGATTCGTTGCCCACACTTATCTACTTCTACCACTTCTGGAGAACAAATATACAGGGTGTTTTGTAAATAGTAGATAACTAGAACTTATCAGAAAGTGTACGTTTGTCAAGTTTGTTTCCAACATCAGCAAAACCAATTTTAAAGCTATATGTTTTTATTCCGATCATTATAAACTGTTATCTTGCACGATTAGAATATTCCTCTGGATGGAGCCTCATTTTAAAATTTGAATCGGGCAGCAACAAAAAAGTGTTTACCCTAAACGGCCAATTTAGATTAGTGACGGGTTTTTCACCGAGCGGAGTGACCCTATCACCGGTACAAATCAGAGTCGTCATCCCTAATTAAAATGACCGTATCGACAGGAAAAAAACCGTGCCCAATTAATAAAATCCTTCCGATGTCAGCAATTAGAATTGTGCAGCTCGAGCGAAAGCTCATCTGGCCGGCATATCTCGCTCGCATTTACATTAATTAACACTTTAAACCGACGGTGGATTAAGATGTCCGATCGGGAACAATATTAGCTCGTTTATATTCAATTCGAAAAAACTATATATTCGGATTAATTAGAGATTGGGCGTCGAGATTTATAGAGCGATTCCTATAATGGGCGACATTAACGTTGACTATATAGATTGATTTTTAGATGATGACACAACTTTTACAAAAATTGGATTCGATTAGTTATAGAAGTAATTTAATAAATTGATTGATTTTTAATAACAGTAAAATATATGGGTTTTTATACATACAAAATACCTTCGAGGAATTAAAAAGAAACCGCAAAGAGTAAAGTTATTTCCAACTAATAAAAATCGCGTTTAATAATCATTTAATGCCAACAAACTAATTGGAGTCGAGTATTTACAGTTGAAATCGATAGCAGAAAAAACGAATACAAGATACCGATAATACCTACTCCATCTGTCGCTGATAAAGAATTATAACCACGTCTTTCTAGTATTATTTATAAATAAATAAAAATGAGATCCAGATTCCGAACGGGCATTGTTTAATCTGACAGCAATAATTATCGATCAATTATTGGTAAAAGAAGAAGGAGACGATGAAACATTGCAGGCACGCAGTCATTTCAAACACATCTCTATCTTCGACATTCTTCAATTTCTTCTAAAATCTTATTATAATTACAAATTACTCGTTTTTTTGCTGGTGTGGCTTCGACATAATTACAACTGATCTGGTTTATTATTGTAATTTATGTAATGCTGTTTAATTTGTAATCATACCAAAACCAGTGTCGTTCATAATCACACACTACTACAAAATAATAGTATAAATGAGGCGTAAGTCTACTTAATAATAATAATAAACTAAACAGATTATCAATAATTTTGGGATATTTAATGAAGCCTATAAAAGAAATATTTGCAGATAATAAAACCGGCTGCCGCTACTGATGTGGGCACCTCATAAATTATGGATAACTCCCTGTGAGAATGTCATATTTTTCTTACCTCTGCCAACTATTGTGCAACTCTGCCAATGACATAATTGAATTCGTTTTAAGTTCTTAAGTACATGAAATATTTAACTTAATGCAATCCCGCATCATTTTTTCAACAAATACTTACATCAAATATAAGACCAAGAACATCAAAAAAATTAATGGACATATAATACAACAAATAATTACTAATCTTCAACCGAGGATAAACCGAAAAAACGGCACAAGGAAAATAAAGAAAAATAAAATCACGCGTATGAAAATGAGTCGTGGATTTTGCCGTCCACCGGGGTAATTGCATAATATGCATAAAATAATGAGGATTACCATTACCATAAGCTAAATGCAATTGCTGGAGGGTGTTAATGTAAATATGCATCTCGCTTCCTCATTTGACACGTTTTCTTGCTTTCAAGGTAGCATCAAATACAAACAGGGTGAAACATTTATAATACAATTAAAGAGGATTTTAGACTAGACAGAAACCGAAACAGCTATACAATAGTATACTCGCAGGATATAAAATGTTAATAAGTTAGGAAATTATTGGCAATCATAATCAAACGATTCTCTTCGAAGAACGCCGAAAAGCAGGCGCCAAATCCGGCAAATTTTGACCCAAATTTCAAGTTAACCGAATTAATGGATACCCATCAAATCACGACGTGCCCCACCCTGTAAATATACTTAGTTGGTATGGAATTGAAGAAAAGGTTGGAGGGCATTATACCGGCCACTGCGAAGCCATTTACTCGAATTCAGGTAGCCTGCCATTTGATCACCTCGGGACTTTTCATCCTGCAATTTTAGCAGAAAATGCACGTGATTACTTAACTACCACGTTACCCGGATCCCCGCCGACTCGCCCACGGGCCTCCCGGATTAGATGGATGCTAACCGTTCGAATTAAATGGATTTTAGAGAGTGTTTAGGATAAATTGCAAGCCGACTTCCATTCGGTTTAGTGGCGTGCAATAAATTCAGTTTTATTCACAATTTATTGGGAAAAAGAGCCCAATACAAGAGACTGATAAAATGAATACAAATATAGAAGACACAAAAAAGGACTTGTAAATAATAATAGTAAAATGGAAGAAGCTTTAGGTACACGATTTGTAGTATCTAATGCAATTATAGAACAACAGCAAGCATCTACTTCAGTAGGTATTAATAATGGAAATTTTGGGCCTGGATTATTAAATAACCCTAAAGATACGGCAATGTTTTATCGCGGATCCGTTCGCGTCTCGTTTTTATTCGTTATATTAAGTCTATTATTAATGATTTCCCAGCAGAACAGAAGCCCAGCTAGATGTTGGTATTATTTAAATACCAGACATTTTTTGGTGCCTACAGTGATTAATTCGCCATTTCTTTTTCGTGTGAGGGTTGTTTGAATATTTTAATACTAATTTAGCTCCTGTGCTACACGAGAGTTTCGAAATTGCCTCGAATACCTATACGAGCATAAAATTTATAATATGTGTGGAATTTTATTAAAATACTGCTCATGTGAAACTAGCAGTAAAAATTGAGTGATAATATACTACTCCTAGCTCTAAATACTTGGGTTACTAATAATA